GAATCAGCACACTTTTGCCAATGTGACACCAGTCGATAAATCCCATCAAAGAAAAAACTGGGTGGTCGAGAATCCACGAAGGTTTTTGCCTGGTCCTGATTGATGAAGTATTATTCATTATTCTTATTCATTGCTAATCGGTGTTCCCCTATGATATTTTCAACAGACCTCTAGTTGTGATATGAACTTCGTGTGTACCAATGGGATGTGTTCTGTAGCAGAAGAGTGCGTTATCACTTTGAGAACACAACATGACATTACTAACACTACAGTACCGATTAGTTTGGAGTTTTTTAGCGATCATTTTCACCCACCGGTTCTCTGTGGTCGTTCTGTAGATGAAAATATGAGCCGACGTCAGATTACTCATCTACTTAGTGAAAATGACCGGTAAGCTTAATATATCACTATAAATATACTCGAAATCCCTGAGATCGGGTAGGCGTGGCCGCATGCTTCAACTTAACCTGAAGGTGTCTATGCTTCTGGTGAGATATTTTCATCTTGACACAATTGTTGTCGTGTCTCTGTCCAACACAGAACAATGACAGTTGTCCCAGACTGGAATATTCCACGAGTAACCAGTTCCGTGCCATGTTCAAATGCCACGCCTACTCTGGCTCAGGGATAAGGAGTATACCTCGAGGAATTCAGTCCAGCGAAAGACATGTTATGCCGTGGATGGATCGATGCAGAAGATCGGCAACCATGTGAACAATTAAAAATTTACTTCCAGCCATAATGCAAGGGAACGGAGGTCACTGGACAGCAGACAGAATTAGAAAATTGCATCTAGGACGGCAGCATCTACCGGCTCACGACAATATAGGCGTACCTAAAGCTTCTTCCTTCTTCCACCTTTCTTTTTCGCAAGAACAAGGACAATACTCGTCCTGCTAACACACTCATCTAGTACAAAAGTCTCAACTTCAAGGCAACGCCCAGAGCTCGTGTTGATGCGCTACGATGCGCTACCACTGCTATAGTGCTTGAATGCTAGACGGAAAAAACCACGGTTGGGGTCGATCGACGCCCGCTGCTAGTGTCTCAAGAAAAGAATGGTAGAACGGGAGAGTAAGCATTGCCTAGTCACACAGTCTGGTACCCTCTCATTCTTACAAACTACCTCGAAACGAAAGCTGTCTTCGACGCTCGATAGCCGTCATGGCCGAGTTCCCGAACATTAGACCATTCGAGATGCAAGAAGCCAGTTGAGAAACAGCCGCACAAAAGCGATGATACAACTGATGTTGGGCGTAGTGAGGAGAAATAGGAAGGTCATTGCCTTCGTCACGAGTGGGTGGTATTGCAATCGCACATTTTTGAGAAACGAAAGGTGGGTAATTAGGTTCCTGCGGACAAGACGAGATTAGGCCGAGTGGGCTATCCAACTAGTTCTTTGTCAGCCTGTTCATGGCAGTAGCGTTGTGCCCATTGATGTAGAAGCTTGGAAAAAGGCTAGACAGGGGTAACGCGGTGGCTGAGGGAAGACATTAATTGGATTGCAAAGAAACCTTATTATATCGGCTGCGAGAGAAGAAACATCCACATTTCCACTCACATCTCTGGTTGGACAGATGTGACGAAGTTGGGTAAGGAAATATTATAGAACAAATTTAACGTGGATGTCCAACAATCACTTGCACTGTTATTAAATATTTATTCAAGACACTATTTGTGAGTATCCTGTGACTGGAAAGAACGAGAGTATCTTAAGTCATTGGGCGTGGACTTTCACGGCTTGATCAGCCACGGCCACAATGAATCGGTTGACCCAAGAGACAGAATTCGGAAAGAAAAATCCACCTTCATGAAAACCCAGATGACCACCGTGCCGGGTCATGATAAACGCCATGTTTTCGGTGATAGAAGCGAATTCCTGAACAAGATAGGGTAATCAGTCGAATCGAATTAATCTAGCATCGAGGGTAGGCGGATCTAGGCTGCTTCCGTCTTGAATCAAAGTCGATCATTCTCTCTCGATTGTCAATTTTTGCGACACTTACTATAGAGTGAGCTGTCTCTTTGCGTGTGCCAAGAACCTTTGTCAATTTCTTTTGTCTCCATAGAGATGGGCAATCATCAAGGCAGCACTACCTCTAGCAATGTCAAGTTGTAGCTGTATTTAATCAAGGGGAAATTGCCCCTCTCTGCTCACATAACCCATAGCGTTTAGGCACACTACTCGGAAGCACACAAAGCACTGAAGTAGTTCGGGGATACGCTGTACATCCACATCCGACGGTTCTGGTCCTTGCCGTGTACGAGATGAAGGTGTACCCTAGCTGTAGAAATGTGCCCCTTTGGTTACTCGAAAGTGCTCTAGAATGAGAATGGACTGCAGTGGTAGCTGGATGCCATCTGGAGCTCTATCCACAGACAAAATGCGCAACACACGGTTGTGGTACCACGGACTCCATGCCTAGCCACGCCAATTGCTATTCTTTTGTGCGCCTATTTGAGTAGAGATGTATTGCTCTGTGGATCCACGGCATTGTCGCCAGGTCACATCATCATTGGGGATTCTCCAACAGAGGGGGATCATATATGGTCGCCGAGAGGAAGGGGGTGTACTTGGTATAAGAAAATTTCTTTTGACAGCTGACTTTCTTGTTTCAGGAACGCTATAAAGGATGGGGTCGTATCAAGCCAACTTTTGGATGAGGGTTGTACGAACCTGACCACGATCCCAAACTACTGATGTGCATGATGATCGTTCGTTAGGAGAGGACCTGCAGACAGGGCACAGCATCGTTGTGCGAAACCCATAGGGGGTCGTACTTGGCCGAGGGGGGTCGTAATCTCAAGGGTCAGGCATCAGCGGACAACGCTATAATGTTTCATTTGATAGAAAGAGTAGAGCTATGAAAGCCGTTTTTGAACAAAATGTGAAAATTTTATGATTGTTTTCTCGAAAGATCAAAGCTCCGTTCATGGACCTTCTTTCATGTG